AAAAGTCACAAGAGTTGGCTACACAGGCATTACCAAAGTGGCATAATTATAACAAAAAGATCTGCTGATGAAAAAACTGCACAGAGTCTGGCACAGAGCAACTGGGAGAAGCAGCAGAAGAACTAAGTGGGGAAAGAATGTAAGCAGCAGTAGGAGCTTTCGTCCCTTTGCAGCTTTATCTTCGGGCCAAATCTTGCAACGGGATCCTGATTGGCCACCCTCTGACTCTAGTTGCAAGATCCCACTATTTTAGGAGCTGGGGGAGGGAGAGGCTGAGAAAAACTACTATTATGAGCAATAGCAATGCTTCCTTCCTTCTTGTTTTCATTAGCAATATTAGTGGTTGAAGCTTTTAGCAAAGCTGGTTGCATTTATTTGACCCAGCCGAAGACATTCCTTACTGGAACTCCTAATGTCACCGTCAGTAAAGCAATATCCTATTCAAAATGCTTTGCTCAAATGAGATCCTATTACTCCAGTTCTGTATCTGTTGCCAGTCAATGGCAAGATGACAAACTGAGGTTCTTCCAGCATGTCTGAAATGACAAGGTAATGACTAATCAGCTGATCTAAGAAAGCTTGTTAGTAAGACTTTCTTGCCTATACAAAAAACAGAAGTACCCATTCAGGCTCCTATGCTCCCCTCTGCTTTGCAGAGAAAGGCAAAGTTATGGGAAACTGTTAGGAAGGGCATTGAGAGAGGCTGGACAGAAAGGCAACTAGGCACTAGCATCCCTCCCGCACCAAGTAATTGCCTCTGCCAAATGCCACAGGGGAGCTCAGCTCTGCATGGTCAAAGTGATGCGTAGCAGGGGGGACGATTGGTGAGTTAGGGAACCTCCGTTCAGTGCAGTAAATTCTCTGTTCAGAGGACTCTAATTTACTATCCATTTTGTATTGCAACTCCCCCTGTACTGTTTAGCACAAAATCCAGGAGGGGGTGGGATCAGGAAGGTGGTGGAAAGCCAGCCAGTAGCAGCATGCCAGGGCAGAGTGCTGTGGTGGGAGAGAGGAACGCTGCAGTAGAGGGTGGGTCAAAGGTCTTCTACTGGTATTAGTTTTCCCACAGATCGTGGCCCAATCACAGCTGTGCTGAAAATGCCCCTGCTTTTTCTATGGTGCCGCCAGCCCCTCCACTTTAAGGGGGAAATGCAAAGCTACAGGTTGAATAAACCTGTTGAGACCTGGGGGTCTTCTTCCACAGGAGAGGAAGTGAGTACACGCAGGCCAGAGAACACAAATCCTGGAGGTTCATGGTAGAATGCAAGAAATGGGAACTGAAGCTCTTTGGCAGAGCATGTTGTGTGACCTCAGCTGCACCAGGCATTTGCAAAGAGTTCTCCAGATGAATATTCTAGGCAATGGTCCCATTCTGCCAGTTTTAGTGACCTGTAGCACACATTGTAAACAAAACCAGTGGTATTTGGACTGTTCTAAAGGAGCGGGGGAAATCTTCTCTCCCGCCGCCGCCGCCCACCCCTTTTTTTTTTTAAACACAATACTGACCTGGAAAAGTATTTAATTATTGTCACTTCATAAATCCACTTCTCTAACACCCATCTTTGCAGCACCACAGATGCTCTAAGGCTTGTTTTGGCTGTAGGCACCTGACATTTTAAAATTAAAGGGACAGCATGAGACTTCTTTTCATATGTATTTATAAAAAAATATGTCCTATTCTATTTGCCAGTGCTTTAGATATATTAAAACTGAAATAATTCTAATTTAATTTTCACCATTAATGGCACTGGTTTACATTTGAACTTCACTCAGTTTGAACAACGCAACTGGATTAGTTCCCCTCTCTGAGTTTCACAGCCAAAGCATAAGGTGGCACTGCCTGGGTTGCAAACTCTGCTGGAGGCTTTAGTTAACTCAAAAAGGTGTTGGTGGAGCAGGGGACACTCTGGTTTCACTGACAAGTCATTAAGATATTTCAATAAATTTTATAATAATTTTAGAAAGCGATTCTCTCTCTTTAAAATAAAATATCCTAAAATTGTGAACTAAGACAGCTGACAGTATCCTTAAGAGATTTAAAAGTTCAGTTTGCCTGAACCAAAGCAGTAGAGAGTACTTTTCTCTTTTTCAGGTGAAAAGATGGGCTTGCTTGTGGCTAAGCCAAGGACCAGAAGTCAATCAATTTGAGTTCCATTCCATGCTCTGCCACAGACTTCCCTCTGACCATAGACAAGTCATTTGTGGACAGATTTTCAGAGGTGAAATCAATGGGACCTGCAGGGACTCAGGATAATGAAATGTGACCTCATAACTGTGACCACAGACACAGCGGACAATGAGGATGAAACCTGTGGCTTAAGGAGGACAAGCTGCGATCACTTGAGTTAAAGCAGAAATGCTTTAATTGGGGAAAAAGTAGCAAGCTGCTTAGCTGTTGGGTCCTGCGACTAAAGAAAGACATTTCCATCTATCCTAAGCCAATGTCTTTCGTTGCCACCTCTGAAAATCAAGGAACTAATCTCCCTTTTGGTCTATTTCATCATCTGCCTTCCGGAGCTGTTGTGAACTTAGATTCTCAGATAGAAGGTGAATGTAGTGTAAGGTCTAAGGTTTGTTTTCTTCAATTAGGCATTTTTACAGTTCTGTACTGGAAATAACAGTACCTTGTAGAAGAACTTGGGGCTCCACCTATTCTGCTTCAGGGATAAACTGTAGCATACAGAACACTGACCTGCAGAGCCAAGAAATGTAAATGAAGTGTTTGCCAGAGAATGAAGACATCTCTTTTTCCCCTTATGTTTTCCAGTATTTTTTTAACCCCCTGTAAGGTACACAGAACGAGCCACTTGCGTTTCTCATGCATAAATGGGCGCGTTATGATGAAACAAACAGTTTAAAAGGACATTTTCACAAACTAACAACTCTTTACAGAAGGATGTTAAGTGACCCATTCTCACTCTCCACACAAAGATCTGTTCTGACTGAACATCATGGAACAGTACAGCTAAAAGGTTGAGATATCTTGTTTCTGTGCATATTGATTGAAGACGACATTAAGTCACAGTTGCTTGAATGTCCAATGGGAATAGCAATGATTTCATCCACAGACAACCTTTGGGTTGCAGATAGAATAGCTATTTAAACTTCAATGGCAAACTAATTTGTAAACTATGAAACCACTGTAGGTTTGCTGCACAGTATGTGTATTTCTGTTTAATAAGTATGATACACTTGTATGTATACACACTGTAGGAAACATTGTCTTAAGCCTTCTGTGGTGGGGAATAGAGAGACTGGCAATCATTGAGTAGAGGGTTTCTCCTGGGGCATGTCAAGGTCAGGTGTGGCAGCAAAAGTCAATACAGTACTCAGCAGTTCTTGTCATTGCACTACCTACTAGAGTACAGGAACGGTGGTTCCTGAACAGCACCTAAAGCTGATCAAAGGCAGAGATGACCTTCAGTAAATGGCAACATGCATCAAGATGCAGACTTTACCTCAGCTCACTCTTCAGAAAGAAGAAAAACAATCCTTTAGGAGACAAGCTACTGTTTTTTTCTCATCCTTCCTCCCCTCCTCCAAATACATATATAAATAAAACCAGAGATGCTTTTCCAAGGGCCAGATTTTGTAGACTGTGTCACAAGTCAGGGCAACCACACCGGTATCCCCCCTCTGCAGTACAGTAAGGACACCCTTTCTAGGTTTCTGGCTCCTCAGCCATCACCTCTCTTGGATTCAGACCCAAGACTCTCTCTCCACTGAGCAAGGTTTTTCCAGACTGCATAGTTCCTTGCCAACACTGCGAGTTCCCCAGAAAGCCAAACCACCTAAACAGGTTTGTGTGTTTGCACTTTGCTTTCTCCTCAGAGGCTATAAACAGCACAGTTGCCTACAGTTATAAATTACCACACAAGTACATTTATTCTTAAGATGAAAGTTTTACAGAGCAAACATAGTAAGAATAGAAGATGCTACATGCATGCTAATAAGCTTAACAGAGATCACCCCAGTAAATCTAACAAGGGCTCTGGTCAGTGACAGTCCTTCTAATCCTTCCACAAGAATTGGACCCCCTCCTTTTGACACGTGGTTCTGACCATTTTCTGGTACAGAAAGAAGGCCTTAAATCAGTTTAAATTCAGGCTATTTATCCCAAAGTCCTTTGTTTGATAGTCTCCGGAGAATCCAGTTTGAACCAGTACATGCAAGCCTCTACAGGTGGCTGTACCTCCCTGGAGGTGTTACAGCCTGAGTGGATTTGTCTAGTCACCCCCATTGGTCTTTGATTCTGGAAGAGCTGTGCTTACTTTCCCCTGCCTGGACTTCCAGAGACCCACAAAATAATCACAGTGATACCCTTTGCATTGCTGAATTTGTTTTGTAGCGTTGCATGGTGTTAACCCATCACGTATTCACGTGACACTTTAATGCAGCATCAGGATACTCCTATGGAATTACTTTAAGACTCTTTGCCACTTCATTAGTACAATATGTACTCTCGTCTCCTGGGAGATTATATATGTAAATAAATGATATGGGAAAACATATATTCTCTCCTTCCTTCCCCAGCCCAAATACACTTTCAGTTTATTTGGAGGAACAGGGAAAGATATTGGCTGCACCAATAATCTGTTTAGCACTTCTCCTGCTGCCCTGCGTGTGTCAGATAGAACAGGTCTACTCAAAACATAGGATCTCTACAAAAGATGCACATGACTTCCTAAAGAGCTGCAGGTTGAGCAGCACTGTTAGAAATGACAGCCTATCTATGATAGGTTTGAAGTTTCACGTCCAGCAAAATGAGAGAGGCCGGGTTTGTTGCATTGTGTATTTCCATTATCACCTTCTAACCTTTTAATTCCAGAACAGAACCCTATTCTGCTATATGGAAATAGACTATTTTAATAGCATCTGTTCGTGGGATGAATCGGCAGTGGCCCAAATTCTGTGCCATTTCCACTGCAATGCTGAGCAGAAGCACAGAGGAATATGAATGAATACTTTTGTTGAGTGATTTTCTGTCTGTTTTGTTCCAGCTTATTCTCTCCAGTTGGGAAGGAGGCTATAACTTACAGTGTCAGAACCTTGCCAGCGCAGGAGAAGCTGATATCCGGGTGAGGCAGAAACAGCAACTCAGTAACGAAAAGATGGTGTGGTCTATTTCTCTATAGGCTTAGGTGCTATTCCCTTGCATCACTGGCCTATTTAGATTTTAGGCATTAGGATTTTTTTAAAACAATTTTATTTCTGTTTGTTACACAGTGGGATATGTATGTGCTGATCCAGGTTGGATGTGTCCTCATTCCCCTCTATAGGGTAGAGAACAATGTGAGAAGTATATTTTTGGTCTGGAAAGGCTTTTACAAAAGTTTATTTCCAACATTTCTGGCTCATCTGGCGTTGCATCATTAATTATCAGAACAGATGCCAATACAAAATGGAAATGTTTTCTATGGAAAACATAAATCCTTTAATTAAAAACCTATGGTGAAATTGTCCAAGCAAATCTGGGTTCTTATGGGTCCAAACCAGTGCCTGAACCAACCTGAACTCCGGGAATGCTTGGATCCAGATTTTGCATCTTCAGCTCATCTCTAGCCTTGACTCTTATTACACACCTTAAAATTCAAAGTTTTGTCCTTCTACTGTTCCAAATTCTCCATGAACTCTCTCACCTGATATAATTAATCACTCTTCCTTTTCACCCCAACACTCACTCCATTCCTCCATTTTGGCCCCCTTTCTCCTTCTCTAGGACTTTCCACATTTTGGCTTGCAAGGGTCACTCAGGCACATTTTCCCACCTGTATGATGATTTTCCTGTTCCTCACTGGGAGATACTACTACTATAAAATTTTTTTGCTCCCCCTTGTTTTATAGACTCTGTGAATCTCACTGCCATACCCTGCTTTAAGGGTCCTGTGGAACTAAAATATTCTTAATTGGCATACCTCCCTATGGAGGATCTGCTCCATTGTGTCCAGGGGGCTTTGATAATGGATTATGCTGACTGCCTACTTTAATTACTCTTTTGAGAACTTGTACATTACAACACATTTAAAATAGTCATTTTTTTTTCAGATCGTGTTTGAAAAGTATTCCAATAGCAACAGTCCCCAAGTCGGTTGCTGTTCAAGTATCCCACTAGTTCATTGTGCTTCACATTCTTCCCACTCCAGTATCTGCCTGTAAAGCCCCCTAGAAAAAGGCTATTGTAACTTTTTGATACAGATGAAGAGCAATTAGAAAGCCTGACTGTGGAAGTTTAGATCAGAAGGTATTTTTAACTGACGTCTGTTCAGAAAAATCTTTATTACATGCAAAACGGATTAGAGGTCTAAGTGTACTTAGGGAATAAGAAACTTTTGGCCAAATCCTGCCATCTTTCATCAATGGGAAAATGACTTCAGTGGGAATTTTGTGAGAGCAAGGACTGATTAAGGGTAGCAGAATTTAGCCCTTTACGGACAGACCTTTATTTTTCTTTCTCTTGCTCATACAGGTGGCCAAGGTGTTGTGGTGGTATTATTTTTCCAAAGTAATTGAATTCATGGACACTATTTTCTTTGTACTGAGGAAGAAAAACAGTCAAATTACTTTCCTTCATGTATATCATCATGCCACTATGTTTAACATCTGGTGGTGTGTTCTGAACTGGATCCCTTGTGGACAAAGTAAGTGGTTCTGTCATTTTCTCATCAGTATGTTAAGGGGGTAGATGTAGGGAATTTGCACACAGCTATGCATGTCAATCACGTTAATAGTAATAATAGCTATCTGCAGAATTATTCACAAATCCCTATAAAAGTCAAGGTGAGTATAGAGTCATATGGGCTTATTTTTAGAGGTGCTGAGCATTGAAATAATAAAGAATTGTGAGTGCTCAGGATCACAGACTACCAGGCCACCAAACTATTGTTCCATGCTCAGATACTACAGTGATGAATAAGGCTACAATTTAGTGACAGGTATTTTTAGTAAAAGACCTGGACAGGTCAAGGGCAAGAAAAAAAATTCATGGCCTGTGACTTGTCCGTGAATCATAGAATAGAATCATAGAATATCAGGGTTGGAAGGGACCTCAGGAGCTCATCTAGTCCAACCCCCTGCTCAAAAGCAGGACCCATACCCAATTAAATCATCCCAGCCAGGGCTTTGTCAAGCCTGACCTTAAAAACTTCTAAGGAAGGAGATTCCACCACCTCCCTAGGCAACGCATTCCAGTGTTTCACCACCCTCCTAGTGAAAAAGTTTTTCCTAATATCCAACCTAAACCTCCCCCACTGCAACTTGAGACCATTACTCCTTGTCCTGTCCTCTTCCACCACTGAGAATAGTCTAGAACCATCCTCTCTGGAACCACCTCTCAGGTAGTTGAAAGCAGCTATCAAATCCCCCCTCATTCTTCTCTTCTGCAGGCTAAACAATCCCAGTTCCCTCAGCCTCTCCTCATAACTCATGTGTTCCAGACCCCTAATCATTTTTGTTGCCCTTTGCTGGACTCTCTCCAATTTATCCACATCCTTCTTGTAGTGTGGGGCCCAAAACTGGACACAGTACTCCAGATGAGGCCTCACCAATGTCGAATAGAGGGGGATGATCACGTCCCTCGATCTGCTCGCTATGCCCCTACTTATACATCCCAAAATGCCATTGGCCTTCTTGGCAACAAGGGCACACTGCTGACTCATATCCAGCTTCTCGTCCACTGTCACCCCTAGGTCCTTTTCCGCAGAACTGCTGCCTAGCCATTCGGTCCCTAGTCTGTAGCTGTACATTGGGTTCTTCCGTCCTAAGTGCAGGACCCTGCACTTATCCTTATTGAACCTCATCAGATTTCTTTTGGCCCAATCCTCCAATTTGTCTAGGTCCCTCTGTATCCTATCCCTGCCCTCCAGTGTATTTATAGTGACTTATACTATAAATACCTGTGACTAAATCTTGGGGGGGGGGCATTGCTGGGGAGGCACTGCTTAGGGGGGTTCCCTAGGAGGCCACTTCTGCGGGGGTCCACTGATTGGGGGGGCACCCTGGGGCCAGTGGCACCAGCTGACGGGGGCTGCTGAGCAGCGGCTGCTCTGGCCACCCCCAGGACCGCTGCTGGGGGGGCCAGGAGGGTGCTGCTTGGGCAGGGGGCTGGGGCCAGCGGCACCAGCTGTCAGAGGCTGCCCCAGGACCACTGCTAGGGGCTGCCGAGCAGCGGCTGCTCTGGCTGCCCCCGGGACCACTGCTCAGGCGGTCCCTAGGATCAGCTGCCCAGGGCCTCCTGAGCAGCAGCTGGTAAGGCTGTTCCCAGGGTCGCCCAAGTAGCTGGCCCTGGAGCCAGCTGCCTGGGCGGCACAGAGCTCAGCCACACTGGCCCCTGCAGAAGTCATGGAAAGTCACAGAATCTGTGACAGACCCGGTGCCCTAGTAATGAGCACAGTATAAAGTGCCTAGACTGATAGATAGGACCCGATTCTCCTCAAACCAGTTTTATGCAAGTGTATCTCCCTCAAATAGTATAATTGAGAGAAGAATCTGTCCCATAAGATACTTAAGGCAAAATAATGAAGTCAATGGGAATTTCACCCCTGCTGTATAGCACAACGTTCAAATGCTTATAAATTTTTGCTTTCTTGCACTAGCAAGATCTTTCATTTATAAATGTGTAACTAAGCATCTGTGACCAGCATAACTGATTTGAAGACATTTAGAAGTACGCAGGCCAAACTGAAAAAAAAAGTGTACTCAAAACCACTATATAGCAATAAAGAGAATATTCAAACTCCATCCAGGGTAGGCAAAGCCCAGTTTGTTTGCCGATGAGGAGCTGCTATTACCTTAGTGAAGGTTTATGCTTCCCTCTCAAGTGTTCCTATTTCTTGTGAATATTTTAAAAAGTTATTTAACTTTTCAACTTCACACACTCCTGAGGAATCGTAATTGCATTTGTCACCCAAACTTTGACAAGTCAAGAACTATCATTCTCAAGTCCTTGTTTTGAATAGGTAAGGGCCTGATCCTGCTCCCCTTGAAGTCAGTAGCAAAAATTCCCACCCATTTCTATGGGAAGAGGATTCAGCCTTAACCTCATATGAGGTCTGGACTGTTAGGAGAGAAGGGGACTAAGTCTGCTCTCACTTATACAAAAGTAAATCAGAATTAACTCTACTGAAGTGCAATGGAGTCACACTGTTATGAAACTGATGAGAAATCAGTATCAGAGTACACCCTGTACTTGGCAGTGTAAATGTGAAGGCTTGTCTACACTTACATTTTATAGCGCTCTAACTTGCTGGCTCAGGAGCGTGAACAATCAACAAAACAACAAAAGGACTGCGCTCGCACTTCAAAGTGCTGCTGCAGGAGCGTTCCCGTGGCAGCGCTTTGAAGTTTCCAGTGTAGCCATGCCCTAATACATTCACGGTCTCTTAAAAACATTCCTCTCTTTGAATCACAGACCCTACATTCATGAATTTGGCTTGTTTTAAAGTCCTATTTTGAAGACCTGAAATGTGACTACATAGTTGGTAGGAAGTCACAGTGATGCAGAGTAATGTGCATTTTATCCAAGTGAAACCAGACGTCTTTGTGACAGAAAATTGGCCTTCTCTAGCTCACTGCACATCAAAAGTCAGGTATAATAATTATGTTGTGGAATATATCTGCTATTATCAGATCATGTTCATCTTGACTGGAAATTGTCACTGTCTCCTCCCATACCCAAGGGAAATAGTGATAGTTAGACTGCTCTCTCTGCATTCTGGATTAGAGTTGAAAGTGGAGAATTATTTCTAGCATCAAATCAAGTACGATCTTGTTAGTGGGTAAATTGAGTGAATTTTTTCTGTAGCCTTGTCATCTAAGTTGAAAAGAAAATTAATGTTTTAAACTTAGTTTTTAAGCGTTGGTTCCCACATCCCTCAGAAAAGAAGTTATCTCAACCTATACAAAATTCAGCATCTCTATTTTTAAAGTAATGTGTTAAGTTCTTATTTTTAATAGTGTAGGACCCAAATCTCCACTGCCTAGTGCAGTCACTTTGATTGTTTGAAGTAGGTGTAAAATGCTCCCACAGACCCTGTGGAGAATTGTGATTTGGCAGTGATTTACACATGCTTTGTACAGGTATCAAGGACTGCTCATGGGCGAGGCAATGGACATGCCAGCTTCTGTGCTCTCTTCTATGGCTAACACACAGGACCTGATTCTCCACTCTGTTCACTTTTACAGCAGCATAATTGCAACACAGAGAAGAATGGTGATGCTTCCCGGGCTACCCCGGGTTTTGAGGCACCTCACTTCCACCTGCCCCTCACGTGAGGATGCCTTGTCCGTGCCTGCTGGAAGTCAGCTCCCCAGCTCCACCGGCCACATGCAACACAAGCACTTGCCTCTAAGCCTCACAGGCTCTGCTGTCTTTTTACAGGTTCATACGGGGCACATTGCAACCCTTGAGCCCCCCACCCCAAGCATCTCTCTGGAATGTCTAGCCCGTTCCGCTGGACACTCACCATATTCAGATTCACTGCGTAACTCTTCCAGCTGAGATCCCCTCTCCGCTTAACCCACAGTGCTTTGCTGTAACTTTTCTGCCAGGTGGAGTCTGTACCAAGACAAGGTTTAACATATAGGGGCGTTCCTCTTACCAGTACAAAACAGAACCATGCTCAAGCCCCACGCAGTAACCTGGAAAAACTAACCACCCCACCTAAGAGGCAGTACTTCCCCACTCGCAAATGCCAAGTCTGTGTGTAACAAAAGAAAAAACTTATTAAAAAGGGAACGGCAACCCAGCATTCATTTGGGAAAACACAGCAACCACAATCTGAAAGCATCTAACCCTAAGCAAACACCCACCCCGCAGTATGTTGGGTCATGTCCTTTTCCTCAGTTTCCCACCTAACAGGAAACAAATGTCCCTTTAATACACTACTCCCCTTGTCCTCTACTGCACTCCGCTCACAATTGGTTGTCTTTGGTCAGCTACTGTTATCTCTGCCGCAACTGGCCGCTCACTCCCACCTCTGCTGCTGTTGTCTGCCACCACTCAGCTCTGCTGCTGCTGTCTTTGTTGATACATGCCACTCACTACCTCTGCAGTGTTGCATTCTGAGGGTCCACCACAAAACCCAGCTCTTAGTGATCTTACCGAGTAGGGGGAACTCAGCTGCTCTCTCTCTCCATTATCTTTCATTGCAACACTGTCTCCACACCAGGTCTAAGGCTTAGCCCCTAGATCTGCTCATTAGTGATTTCAACTCTAGTAACTACTGCACAGAAACAAGAACTCTCAGTTGAGTCCAATCAGCTCTGTCCTTAGACCCTGAAGAGGAGAGGCTCAAAAGGTGTCTAGGACTTTTTAGGCAGAATCTGTACCATCAGATAGGAACACCCATCCCACCCCCATCTCATTTTCACTGGGATTTGACATCCTTAGCCCCTGCTTAGCAAGTGAGTTTCAGTTTAGGGTGACCCCCTTAATCAGGGCATGCGAAGTACAGTTCTGCTGCCCTTTAGTATTATCCTTATTGTATGAGTAAAGTGAATTGTAACCCCAAACCAGCCAAACTTGATCACTTTAGCAAAGCAGCTGTCTGCTGAATACCTAGGGAGAGTGAGTGTGTCAATGCAAATATGGTCTGCTCCTCAAGGCTTTTCCCCCAGTTCATCATTGGATGTCAGGGGACAGCTCACTGAGACCCTGCTTACATAGATATCAATGTATCAGCACAGCAGGTCTCTTAGGTGAAGGACCCAGTGTGTTCTTTGCTTCCTAAGATATCCAAGTCACATCCTTTGTTTTCATTCATAAACAGGACACCTATTGGTACTTTGTTTCTTCCTGTAAATTCTGTCTTGTAGATTTTACAACTTACAGCTGGAACCTAAGCTCAAGGCAAGTCTATACTACCATGCTACGTGGGTGCAGCTGTGCTGCTGTAGCGTGTCTGGTGACATGTGATGCCAACGGGAAAGGGCTCTTCTGTCGGCATAATTACTCCACCGCCACAAGAGGCGGAAGCTATGTCGGTAGGAGAGCCTCTGCTGCTGACATAGTGCGGTGTGGACACTGCTTATGTCACTGTAACTTGTGTCGCTCAGGGATGTGAACAGGACACCCCCCAGAGCAACGCAAGTTACATCCCTCAGACAAGCCCTCAGTCAGCAAATAGGTCTCCATTGTGAGGTAGACAACACACAATACACTCATCACCAGACAGGGAGGCGAGTGTCTGTTACCGCCTCGCTGAAAGGAACGTGTCCGATGCATGTCACCTCCTGGAGACTTGCCTTAACTCCAAGGCCTTAAAAACACAATTTTCAGTATAGAGACATAAGTCCTTAAATATTACTCCTACATGCATTTTGCAACGATTACGTCAACCAGTGGGCTACTGGCTCGCGGTGAAGATCTTACGTGTCATCCTTTAGTGAATTATTATGCGCATACATGACTAAGGAAATTCCTGTAAAACCCTATGTAGCCCCTGCACCCGTGGCCAGTAGGCACTGAGAGGGCCTTGTGTCACAAGAATCAGACCGATATGATCTCTGACCAAATGTTAACTTGTTCTGTAGCTGCTGAACATTCTACTAACAGAATGAACACATGTAACTCAGCAATATTGCTACTTCCCGCTCAACTATCTCGGCAAAAGCGTACACGGTAATTTATCCACATCATACAGAATGCTAGAATAATATTCAGTTACTGCAATTGATTGTAATGGTGAAATATTGTTTAGACCCAAATTCTGCAGTCCTTAAGTAAGCAAAGTACTCACTGAAGTCAATGAAAGTTTTTCCTCAATTAAGGCAACAGAATTTGCTCGAGTACATGAATTGTAGTCAGACACAGAGTAAAGCTCTCACAGCTGTGTTTAGTAATGGGAGTTGTGCATTTTCTTTTATCTTCCCGGGGCATTAGGCTGCTGTTTATTACAACATAATAATCTAAAATAGCTGAGTGTTTAGAGCTTAGAATGACAAGACAGACAAAGGATTTTTAGAACAAAGAAGGGATGGCCTACAATCTAGAAAATAAAAAGGAAGAAGGGAGAGAGGAAGCACAGAGTAAAATATACAGCCTATGACATCAAATAAAAAGAAACTAAGGAAAGAAGAAGAGCTGGGTGTATGAGGCACTTCTCAGGGCATCCATGGCCGAGTCACCTTGTTCCCACTCACCTCCCGCATGAGGGAGACTTGCCTGTGCCAGCTAGGCATTAGCTCCCCAACACAACCAGCCTGTCAGCCACTCTCCTCTATACCAGCCCTGCAGGTTGACAATAGATGTACCCCAGCCTCTGAGTCCCTTCAAAGTGTCCACCTGTGGTAAGCAGTCACTGGATACCCCCAGAAATCCCAGAGCCTCCATTCTCAAAGGAGCAGTGTGCCCCAATTTACCCATTTTACCTTAGAAAACTGCTTCTGTACCAAGAACAGCACTTGAGTTCAGTTACAGTAAAACAAAAGGAAACTGGTTTAAGAAAGGATAGAGATTCAAATCAGAAGCAAGTATAAGCCATGGAAACAAATGGTTACACACATCACAAAATCATAACACACAAACTAGGACCTACATTTATTAATAGTCCCCTTTACTATTTAATAGAGTCGATTCTCACCCTAAAGTTCAGTCTTTTGCAACGCTTGCTAGTTCCAAAGAGCCACGACCCAATCTTTCAAGAAGCACCCCCACTCATAAAGGTACCTCCTCAGCGAGTGGATCCAGCATATCTTTCTCCATCCTGTGATATACTCAATCAGTTTTTATTCACAGAGAATGTGATCCCCAGGCTGTCACATTGTTTCTTTTCACTTCCAAGTGCTTTCAATGTTTATAGTTTATCTTTGATGGCTTCCATTGACTTTTCTGTGTTGGTGCAATGATGGACAATGAAGCAATGCATTACATATTAGCCTGGGAGGGGTGACAACCAATGGTCCCTCTAATTTTTGACAGGCCGTGTGTGCAAAAAATTTCTTCTGTGCAAATTTTGGACAGGCCGTGTGTGCAAAAAAGGTCTTCTGTGCAAATTGTGCTTCTGTGCAAAGTTTTGTGCGTGTGGTGTTTCGCCGTGTGCGCGGGGTTTAGGATCTGTGTGCACGCGCTCACATGCACAGCTTAGAGGGAACAGTGGTGACAATTCCCTCCTGCTTAAACTGGTCATCACTGAGACATTCTCCTTGTAAACCACTTTCATTCCAAGACCATAAGGGTGTAATTTTCAGTATAGTTACATTGTTCCTTAACTATTCCCCGTACACACATCCCACAATGATTATGAGTATCGATAAATTACAGGCTTTGAGTACCGATAGCACATGCTAGACTTCATGGATAACTACAATGAAAGCACTGTGTGTGCCATGTCTGAGACAGGAGTTGCTTGCAAAGAAGAGTGAACGCTTTGCTAGCTGGTACCAATGGAACGTGTCACAGTAAGACTTTTTTGTGGTGGGGCGGGGAAGGGAAGGTGAGCAATCCCTAGTGTTGAATCCAGTGCAAGTCCAAGACCAGAAGTGAGAAAAGAAAAAGAAAAAGGTACAGAGGATTATTACTAGATGCAGTGGTAGAATGCTAGTGATCAGTAAAAGTCTACCAGGAAACATGTTCTTACAATTTACAGGGAGGGAAAGTCCTTCACCCCACCCCCAGTGATACCGCTGAATAAAATGTTTTCTTTGTTGGATTCTTACAGGTTTCTTTGGACCCACCTTGAATAGTTTTATCCATGTTCTCATGTACTCCTACTATGGATTTTCCGTCATTCCTTCCATGCGCAAGTATCTGTGGTGGAAGAAATACCTCACTCAGGCACAACTGGTACATTTATATTTCACTTTCTCTTTACTTCGAATAGATGTTTTTTGTCCAAAGAGGTGGCATAAAACTGTAACCTTGAATATAAATCTTTTGAAATGTGGGAGAGGAAGGGCCCAAATTCCTGTACCCAAATTCAACCCCAAAGTCTTTGTTTCCAGATCGGATCCAAAAGCAGCAATCTGGTGGAAAAAACCTCAGAGGGGTTCAGTATGATCAAATTCGAATTGTGCTGTGAAATCCAAATTCAGCCTCAAACACTAGAATAAACTTAATGTGGATCAAGATCTGAACAGGGTCTATGGAGCCAATTTTCATAAGGAATATGTTTATTCAATACTATCTTAATTCATCTGAACTGAACTCACAGAGTGGAACAGGACTGAAGTACTTAGCAAGTTATTTAAGCATGAGGATAGAATATCCAATTACTGTGGCTTTTAAAGTGTGGTTCTTCTCTGCAAAATAACTACATACATTAGACTTACTCCCTCAGTTTATTCAGTTACAGCTGCTTACTTCACTGATGATGTTTTTATTGCTTTTTACTCCCGTTAGAGCTGCAAAGTCAATACAGCTCTGGCTCACACAAGACCACTAGGATTGTTAGCTAGGTTCTACTGTAGAATCCTTGTTGTTGGTGATACATGAGCCAGTGAGAATCCAGCTTGACCTATCTGTACCAACAGAAGTTAAACACACACACAAATGAACAAACATCCTTTTACTTGTGAAGTTTTCAGATACTATTTGGCATCACTGAGAAACAGTCAATGTGCCCTCCTCTTCTTGTGCCATTTTTAGAAAGTAACTTTTAAGAGAAGAACCATTCTTTAAGTGAAACATGTTCATAAATGCAAAAAGGCAGACATATTAACTTGACTTAAGAGATACAAAACCTTACTATTAAGGCTAAGGATGTGAAATTGAGTTTTGCACCTACCTTAACAGCCATTTTCATTCCAAGTTTTTTGATGTTGTTGTTGATATTGTTGTTTTTAACATAGCACATTGATTCTACTTATGGTTTAATTCTGATTTTAACTGTTTTAACCTTGTAGGATTACTGTCGGAGTCAAGCTTTTTAAAAGTGGACTCTAACTTGTCAGCATAAAAGAAAGATTTGCACACTTTTTTTGGCTGCCAATCTCTTCTTTCATTTAAAAGAAAATCTGGCCTATATTCTGTATTTGTTTAAAGGGTAAAAATCTTAGGATTCATTTGGAAGTAAATACAATGGGCCTAATTCTTGCTATCAATAGAAGTTCACTGTGTGCAGTACTTTCCAGGATTGAGCCAGTAAAGATTCAAATGTAGCAACAGTGCAATGCAGTATACTTTGACAGTCTCATGTTTGGGGGCACAATTAAGACCAGTGTGAGGCTGTGTCACCACCTGTCCTGTAACCTTGGGTGCCTGAAATGCCCTACTGTTGTGCCTCACAACCTGGATGACAGCAGCTAGCATACAAGCATGCAGGTCACATCTTAAGCGTCTGTGTGCCATACATGCCTGGATCAGCAACTCTGACTCTCGCAGCCAGCCTGCAGCACAACAGTCTCACCAGGGCTTCCACCAGCCTTGGTTACTACTAGCAGACTGACCCGAACACACTCCCAGTCCTGTATTTTCCCAAAACCATGTACCCTTTAGCGTCTGGCCCTTTCCAGAACCACTCAGAGAAATAAAGTTAGTTGATCCTTTAAAGACAGACAAAAGCACATTGTAGATTAATTTAACTGGGGTAAATAACCCTTCCCTTCAAACAAATCAGTGAATTGGTTTATAGTAAAAATAAAACAGATCTAAATGGTTACATGCAAATAATAGTGAAAACATTCATCTAAAACTCTAGAACTTAGTTTAGTTAGGTATAGACTTTATTCAAGATAGTTGATCTCACCAAACTGTCCTCCTTCCCAGCCATGGCTGACTTTTCCTCAGTCAGGACTTTCCACAGAAGTACAAGATGTAGTCTCCCTAGGTGAAAGATCTTTGCCTAAGCAGCTCTCTCACCTATATTCAGTTCCCAGAAATTCACCACCCTGCTGGTCAAAGGACCCATTTCTAATCAGCTTGCAAGAGAGCTTGGGTCTGTCTAGCGATGGATGCCAAAGATGGTTTCGGTCTTTGCTTAGATCTTTCAAAGTTCAGTGACCTAGTTTCAAGAGGCAGGACGAAGTAGAGAGTTTCTATTGTTTTGATTCTACAATTCTTAAATTTACATAGGAGACAGGTAAATAGCTCTGCTGATCCCACCTGTCTGGCAGAGACCTGTTTCTCCCTTTGATTGGACACAGACTGTGAAGTCTAATATCAAGGAGTATCCATAATTCCCTACAGTGTTAATATATATAAATATATTAAGCACCAGTGTGTCATAGGCTTTCATAAAACAGCTTATTTGATGAACTTTGTATACATTACTGTATTATTAATTAGTTGATTCAATTGCTTGTCACTTGAGGTTCAGACCCCGTCCATATAGCTCAGATAAAGTTTCTCTTTCCTTCTAGAGACTATCTGCACCCGATTGTTAGCTTGATAGCTTTGTTTACCTAATATGTAAATGGACCTTCACTCTCTCTGCCTGTTGACCAAGCATTCCTTTGTATAGGGCAGACCTATTTGCCAACTCTCCCTGCCAGACCTGGCTTAAACACATTTTAATCATTGTTTCAGCATATAGCCATCACACTTAATACACACCACATACATTACTCAAGAATATTAATGATGTATCAGTAAGATATTAGATTTCGAATGATACATTACATGCTACCTTTTAAATAAATATCATGATACCATTGTGTGAGGTGTAATAAGTATGTCAGGCCTCACAAGTGTTGCTTTCTACAGTGTTATTGTAGCTGTGTCGGTCCCAGGATATTAGACAGACAAGGTGGTTGAGGTAATATCTTTTTACCTGGTGAGAGAGAGAAGCTTTCGAGCTCCACAGAGCTCGTCTGTATAAGCTCAAAAGCTTGTCTGCCTCACCAACAGAAATTGGTCCAATAAAAAATTTATTATCTCACCTACTTTGCCTGTAAGAGTTGCTAACACAGGATAACGAACCACAAATGGGCTTGTGTGTCATGAACAGTACACCATATTACTCAGTGAGGGAAGATAGTATTCAGTAGTGATTCTAGGAGACACTCAATAGGTCGTAAACCCTCCCCCCCATTATTTATGGCCTTCTTCATAGAAAATGGACACTACTAAATCATGGGAAATGCACCACTGATTAAAAAGTCATAAAAGCTATTAATTATTAAGATGATATACAGCTCAGTCAACTTTCCTATAGAGCTTTAAAATTGTATGACTTGAAAAAGTTTTGCATCAGCTACTGAGATGCATCAAAGTCTCTCCAAAGCAGGAAATGTAACCATAGTACAAGAAGAAAATGCAGAATCACAGAAAGATGCAAGAGCACAAGACAAACATTCTCTGATTTAGAAAAATCTGCTTTAGGCTTTGTGTACTGGATCCAGACATGTGCCCTTTGTAGTCAGCATTAATACATCGAGAATTATGCTGTTTCAAAAACATATCATGCTGTGCTCCTTACTGGTAGAAGCATGTTCTCTACACATTTGCATTTTAAAGAAGGCTTCTTTATTCTTATTTTGGGAACAGACACTAGCAAAAAAGCTCTAAAATGGTCTTGTGAAAATGTGTATTCTTGGAATCAGGAGTGCATCTTAGGTCTAAGTAGCTGATGCAAAGCTTTTTCAAGTCATACAATATTTGTTTTCCTGCACACTTAAAACAGAAGAATGCCTCATTCTAAATAAACTATATACAGTACATTGGTTCCAGGAAGTACCGCATAATTCAGTTGGTTGGACAGGGTCATATGATCCAGCTAATTAGGCCGTGTTTGGTAATCCAAAAAAGTGAGATCTTTTGCAGCTCCCCTCCCCATCTCATTTCTGCTTTATTTGCTGTCTTCTTACACCTACACACACAGTTCTTTACCTGACCCAGACTTCTAGTTTCGCTTTTAAAATGGATGTTCCATTTTTAGCTCAGTCTTCTGAAATGGCTTCCTCGGGTCTCAGATATTCCTCAGGTTTCTCTCAGGTTCTGCTTTAAAGATGATGCTGTAGGTGGCACAAAGTGTTCTAGGGGACATCACAGCCCCATTAAAAGAGAATAGCTACCAGTTTGCCAGCCAGTCCTGTAAGAAAACTTGTGTTTTCAAAAGTATCTATAAAATGCCAACCCTTAATTCTTTAGACCTTATATGAAAATAATTCTTACAGCCTCAGAACAATGCCCCCAACATAACGCTCACAAACTAAAAAAAATTATAATATGGAGAATGCATAGGAAATACCTGATTAAATGATCACCATCCTCTTTCCTGAAAATGCTCAAATAGTAATAACCCCCCCAAAAATAATCTCATCTAAATTTATATAAATAAAATGTCTGATCTATCTTTTACAGATTCAATTTCTGCTCACCATTATCCACACTCTTAGTGCAGCTGTGAAGCCATGTGGATTTCCTTTTGGGTGCCTCATGTTCCAGTCTTCATACATGGCCACACTGGTTATTCTGTTTATAAACTTTTATATTAAGGTAAGTTGGGGAACGTAAAAATCATACACTGAGGTCTGATTTCAGGTTATATTTATTTATCAAGCTCCTGATTTGCTGATGAGTGCAGCTTTCTGTGAATTTACACCACCATGCACTGTGCTACCAGAAATCAGAGATCTGGAATGTTTTGCCAAATGGACTGATATATGATATAAGAAATCTTAATACAATCAAGTTTTGGTAGCATTTTATTAAAAGAAAATGCCAGATTTTTTTGGTTTTGGTGGGTGGGTGTTTGTTGTTCTTGTTTTTTTTTTTTGTTTTTTTGTTTTTTTGCTATTATAGCAGTTGAGAAATATGGATGTTGTAAACTATGTAAAAAGATATACCTTCAAAAATTAAGTGATCCTGAGTTCAGGGAGATGCCATTTCCTCTCTCATTAAGTGCCCAATTCTACAGTGTTCTGAGCACTTTCTGCAAGCTCCTTTCTGTCCTCAACTGCCAATAAAAATAGCAAAGGAAATACAGTGACAGATAATAAGTGTTAACTTTTGAGCATTAAGGGCCTAACTGAAGTCAGTAGAAGGACCTCAGCAAATTCAGCAGGCACTGGATCAGGCTAGAAGGAACTAATCCTTCCAGACTTCCTTGTGCAGTTAGCCCCATTGACTCCATCAGAACTACTAACATAAGGTTTATTCTCAAGAGTGAAGGCAGGCACTATCAAGCCAAAAATACAGATGCAATAGGCAATATGAAATGTCATAGGCAATTCTAAGAGTAATGAATAATGGTCATGGATTTTCTTTTAAACTTTATATTTGGGGTGGAGTGGTACCTTTTTTCATTTTTATTACCTTTTTTTTTAAATATAAAGAAAAATCAAGTACATGCAAATAAGCAGTAGGACTTATTTAGAATAGATGTAGAAAATATGCAGGAATATCCAAAACCCTATACAACTTTATTGATGGAGAACAGAAGATAATTCTCATGAAAACAGTAGCATTAAATGGAGAATTCTGTATAATAAACTGCAAAATACATTTTAAAACAGAAAAAATATATAGGCATTCCTAACCGAACCATTTATATTAATCAGTTAATCATAAAGTGTCAGATTTACCTTGATAAATTGTCTAAGTATCTATCATGGAATCTGGCCCCATTCAAATCGATGGCAAAACTCCCATTGGATTTCAGTGAGGCCAGAATTTCACCCCTGCATTTGTTTTTGTTTGTGTTTTTTTTTTAAACTGTTAACACAACTTTTAACAGATGTTTGGGATTTAAACCAGACCTTCTTTCAATGTATTCTGTCCAACTAGGTTAAATGCAAGAGGCCAAATTATGTTCTCAATTCCACTAATCATCATTTTAAATTCAGAGCAATTCTACGGAGGTCAGGGGGGTACTCTGCATTTGCAACCATGCAGAAAAGCAGAGTTTGGCCAAAAGGAGTTAGTTATGCTTAATATATCCTTGCTTATAAAAAAGAAAAACAAACAAACAAACAAACAAAAAAACAGGCAGTCACTGCAAAATGCAAGTTCCAGCCTCAAAGACTGAATTTGGTGCTGTTTTAATACAATGAGCCTTTTATCACTGGATAACCCTGTTGTAATGGCTGCAAATTAAGAAAAATTCAGGCAGAGTAAGTGATGTGTATATTAAAATGCCTTATCCAATACCCATGGAAGAATGGGGCATCAGATGGGGCCAACAATGAGCTGTGTCTCAAATTACATCCTTGTAGCCAGTTGATCAGATTAAAAAAAAATTGGACAGACTTTCATGCAAGATAATAGTTGAATTCAACTCCCTAGTAGGTCTCACATCCTATCCATACAATTTAAACAGTGTTCAATGTGTACTGAACAGGTTTTGAGGCATTATTTTCATTTCTAAATGCATGCTTGTGTAACCCTTCTGCCCGTCAGAGTTGGCAGCAACAAGGGCCGGGTTCAATATCTAGGGGTTCCATTCCAATAACACAATGCAAACCGGCTCGAGCCCCCACCCAGTGACCTGGGACAAATATATACCACCCCCGCTGGGCGCCTCCAAGAGGCAATACTTCCCCTCTCGCAAGCACATAGTCTGAGTGTAGCAAAAGCCTTTTAATAACAGAGAGAAACAATGTGGCATTATGTTGGGGAAACACCACCAACAGGATTCATAACACAACCCATGAGCAAAAAAAAGAACCCACCCCAGGCAAATTGGGGCATGCCCTTTTCCCTTTGGTTCTTGAGTCCAGCAACTCCAAATCACCCAAAGTCCCAAAAGTCCAATGCCCCAAAAGTCTCTGTCCCTGGTCAGGGCAGCCCCAGAGTTCGAAAGTTTATCTGCGGAGCTTTACCTCCCAACCTGGGTGGAAATGGGACGGGGGTAAGAGGCACCTTACGTGATCTGAAGCTGACCGCCCCATAGCTCCATAGCGGCACTCCGCTCCGCCAGCCGCCCCACAAACTCCTTCGCTCAGCTGCACTCCGCTCCGCCAGCCGCCCCACGAACTCCTTCGCTCAGCTGCGCTCTGCTCCGCCAGCCGCCCCACGAACTCCTTCGCTCAGCTGCGCTCTGCTCCGCCAGCCGCCCCACGAACTCCTTCGCTCAGCTGCGCTCTGCTCCGCCAGCCGCCCCACGAACTCCTTCGCTCAGCTGCGCTCTGCTCCGCCAGCCGCCCCACGAACTCCTTCGCTCAGCTGCGCTCTGCTCCGCCAGCCGCCCCACGAACTCCTTCGCTCAGCTGCGCTCTGCTCCGCCAGCCGCCCCACGAACTCCTTCGCTCAGCTCCACGGCCCACAAGCCGCTCCTGCCATCCACACACTGCTCCGCGTCGAACTGCTTCACCAGCCGTCCCGCAAACTGCTCCACAATATATCTTCAGGCTCCCCCACTACTTAACACAACACTCAGTGATTTCAGCTCTTAGGTGAATTCAGCTTGTAGTAGGGGAGCCCCAGTGCTGGTGCACTGTCAGCCCAAAGTGAGCTCAGCAGCCTATAACTAGACTTCTAATGAAATCAAAATTAGCTCTGATATTCCACAGTGGAGAGAGGAGGAAGTGCAATTAGCATGTAAGGCCCTCACCAAGGGGCCCATGCCACCAAGTATTAATACTTGTCCCCAGCCTCTCTCCATTCACACAGTTTTGGAACCCATGACCCTTGCCTAGCGAGTGCTACTTAGTTGATGGTGAATCCCTCCATCATAACAAAAGGCCACGTACAGTTCCAAGCACAGTTCCCATAATCAGGGTAATAACAATTTATTCTTCCTGCCCCAATAACAGAGACACTGGGGATCCCACAGCAGCCAAAGTGACCATTTGGGCAGCTATGGTCTCATTCTAGGCGGGGTGGGTGTGCCTATGCAAATGAGATCGGCCCCTGAAGTTCTTTTCCACAATTTGCCACACCTCACCACCAGATGTCAGGGTGGAGCTCATCCTGACACTGCTTACACTTGGAAATATCATCCTATTGTAGAAGTGAATTGAAATACATTTCTTATTTTTTCCCATCCTTACATTTTCCCATATAATTTTTAAATTTTGATATGCTGATTCAGGGTACAAAACTCCAAGAAAGAAAGTAGAATTTTGATATAATTTTACACGTTTCCCCAGTCTTAACACAAACGAGTAGCAGTATCTGTTTTTGGAAGCTTTACGTTTAGGTCTTGTCTACACTGGCAAGTTTGTGCGCAATAAAGCAGCTTTTTTCAGCGTCACTCCCGAGGTGTACACACGGCCAAGCCACTTAGTGCGCAGAAACTGTGCAGTTGCAGCACATGGTGCTATAAAAAAAAGCCAACTCCACCCTCCCCCCCCACCGACGAGAGGCGTGCAGCTTTCTGCACCAGGGCTACAGCACCGCGGTGCCAGTGTAGACATCCTGGTCGATGACCGCGCTGCAATTGGCCTCCGGGAGGTGTCCCACAATGCCTGTTCTCACCTCTCTGGTCATCGGTTTGAGCTCTACTGCCCTGCCCTCAGGTGGCCAACCATGAGCCCCCCGCCCCTTAAGTTCCTTAGGAATATTGAAAGTCCCCTTCCTGTTTGCTCGGTGACGCGTGCAGGGGTCTCAGTGCATCTTTCCAGGTGACCATGCCTGCTCCACGCGCCAGGCGATCCCCCACTTGGAGCAATGCCGCGCTGCTGGACATCAGCATTTGGGGGAGAGGAGGCTGTCCAGTCCCAGCTGTTCTCCAGCCATAGGAATTAAGATACCTATGGACAGATTTCACGATGCATGACAGAAAGAGGCCATGACTGGGACACACTGCAGCGCAGGGTCACGGTGAAGGAGCTGCGGAACGCCGACCACAAGGCACCAGAGGCAAACCGCCGCTCTGGTGCTGCACCCACGCGCTGTCGGTTCTACAGAGAGCTGGATGCAATACTTGCCAGAAACTCTACCTCCACTGTGAAGACCATTGTGGATACTTCGGAGGTTCATGTGCCAGTCAAGAGTGCACCAAGCCAGGAAGAGGAAATCTTGGACGAGGAGGGGGAGGGGGACCCAGAGGCAGAGGACAACTCGGAGGCCAGAGATGCATGCAGCCAGGAGCTTTTCTCTATCCCGGGGGAGGCTAGCCAGTCACAGCAGTTGGAGCTTGGTGAAGCGCAAACAGGAGAGGAGGCCCGGGGTAAGTGGCTTTGATTCTGGGAATTGCTGAAGCAAGTTGTTGGGGACTGGAGGGTTGAAGAAAGCAGTCTTGTGTTTGTATGATGTGCGTACCACCACATGCCTAGTCTGAGCAGCGGAACAGGGTGTTGATTGACTCGCTCACTTCATGGGAATCTGCCTCACGGATCTCCGCAAAACCCTCATGGAGCCACAGTCTTGGAGAAGACCCTCCCTTGATTCCCTGCTCACCCTCAGCCTCAAGATATCTTCCATAAGGAATATAGCCTGTGGAAAATGTGGGGACAGGAATGATTAAAAGGCCCCCCACACACAGTGCTGGCTCTCCCCAAGAGCCACATGCCCAGTGTACAGTAGGGTCCAGGAAGAGTGATTTCCCCTGCCCCTGCAGTTACTCACCATTTTGGGGGTTTTGTGGCTCATGTGTGCTTGCCTGGGGTCAGCCAGTGACAGGTATGTGAATAGTTGCTGTGTTTTAAATCACCGAATCAGTGGTCTCTGTGTTGCAAACAACACTGCTTCTGTAAAACGTTGCATTTTGGCTTCACAGAGATGACCTTGGGAGCCCATATTCCCTCTTTGTTATTGCCAGCTGAAATGCTGCACAGAATTAGAAAGCAGCCACGAAAAACTAGAGGACTTTCTGCATGATGTCATGATGCACTCTGCGGCCAAAAAACGTGAATTGAAGGAGTGGCGGGACAGAAGGAGAATGTTGTGGCATGCCAGAATGAAGCCACGGAGCAGCTCAAACATTATGGAGTGCCAAGCGGACACGTTCCAGGAGCTATTAGCAGCTCTGCGCCTGCCCACCCCTGCAGCTGCTGTCACAAAACACTTTCCTATGCTCCCCTGGACACTGCCAACACACTCTTATCAACCTCCTGGCTCCAGTCTGTACCCACTGCATTCCACTCCCGTCCCGTCACAGTCCAGCCCTGTGGACTTCCAGTACCCACTGCACTCAACACCCATCCCTCTGTAGTTGAGCCCTGCTGAAGAACAATACCCGCTGCATTGTACTCCAAAGGACAAGGTTGCATAGGATACCTGGACATACACAAATCTTTAACCGTCCCGGGACCCCACATCCTCTTGGGACCTTCCCTTCCCCCATCCTCCTCAGCAGGGATGTATTTTTTTGTTTGTCTCTCTCCTCCAGTTGTTTTTTAATAAAAGAATTGTGTTGGTTTGAAAGCAGTCTTTATTCCATCAACTGAAAGCAAACAGAGACCTGAAAAGCAACAGGCAATTTTCTTAAACCTTCACAATGAATCATCTGCACCGATCACAATCACCTCTTAGCATTACAAGCACTGCACTCCCAAGCATAGCAACAAATATTAGTGGACTTCAGCTTCAGATTGCTGCCTCAAGGCATCCCTGATCCTTATGGCCCCATGCTGCGCCCCTCTAATAGCCCTGGTCTCTGGCTGTTCAAATTCAGCCTCCAGGCGCTGAGTCTCAGTGGTCCAGCCCTGAGTGAAACTTTCACCCTTCCCTTCACAATTATGATGGAGCATACTGCACATGGCTATATATTGTCATTGGCCAGGTCCAGCCTCCCATATAGGCAGCACCAGTGGGCCTTTAAATGGCCAAAAGCACACTCAGCATTTATTCTGTGCTTGCTCAGCCTGTTGTTGAACCACTCCTTTCTGCTGTCAAGGTTCCCTGTATATGGCTTCATAAGCCATGGCATTAAGGGGTAGGCGGGGTCTCCCAGGATCACAGTGGGCATTTTGACTTCCCCTACAGCGATCTTCTGATCTGGGAAGAAACCCCCTGCTTGCAGTTTCCTGAACAGGCCAATGTTCCGAAAGATGTTTGTGTCATGCACCTTTCTGGACCAGCCTGCGTTAATGTCTGTGAAACTCCCACAGTGATCCACAAGTGCCTGGAGAACCATTGAGAAATACCCCTTCCGATTAATGTACTTGGAGGCTAGGTGGTCTGGTGCCAGAATTGGAATATGTGTGCCATCTATCACCCCTCTGCAGTAAGGGAAGTCCATTTGTGCAAAGCCATCCACAATGTCACGCACTTTGCCCAGAGTCATGGTCTTTCAGAGCAGAATGTGATTAATGGCCCTACAGACTTCCGTTAACACGTGTCCAAAGGTAGACTTTCCCACTCCGAACTGGTTAGCAACCGATCGGTAGCAATCTGGAGCAGCCAGCTTCCACAATCACCACGCGCTTCTCCAGCAACAGGGCAGCTCTCATTCTCGTGTCCTTGCGCCGCAGGGCTGGGGTGAGCTCTTCACACAGTCCCATGAACGTGGCTTTCCTCATGTGAAAGTTCTGCAGCCACTGCTCATCATCCCAGACGTGCATCATGATGTGATCCCACCACTCAGTGCTTGTTTCCCGAGCCCAGAAGCGGCGTTCCACTGCAGTCAGCACCTCCGTGAATGCCACAAGCAATCTCGTGTTGTAGCTACTATGTGTGGCGAGATCAATGTTGAACTCCTCTTGCATTTGTAGTGTAAGGAATAACTCCACTGCCCCTCGTGACATGTTGGTCAGAGCAAGCAGCAGACTGGTCTGCAGTGCGGGATCCATTCCTGTAGCCCGAAGAGACAGGGCGCGCAGTACACAAACTGTTGAAAGATGGTGCCAAATGCGGACGGAAGCACAGGGATTGCTCGGATGCGAAGCAATGTATCACGGGTCATTGGGACAGGACCCAGGATGCCCCACGACCCCCTCCATCTTCCCACAACTCTTAGCGGCGGAAGAGGAAGAGATGCTCTGTGGGATAGCTGCCCAGAGTGCACTGCTCTGAATACCGCTGCAAGTGCCACAAGTGTGAACACGCTATTGTGCAGGCAGCTGTCAGTGTGAACACACAACAGCGGTTTCCCCTCAGGGCTCTCTGAGTGGCGCTGTAACTGCCCACAATGTAACTCTGCCAGTTTAGACTTATTTTAAGAGATTAGGTAAGGCAAGTCAAAGAATAATCTTGTTGAAATCAGTATTTAGACTGATTATTGATCAATTATTATTAATTATTGAAAAGAGATTAACTACTGATCAACATAGATGCCCACTTCAACTTGTCTGCATTTTCCTCAGTAGGATGCATGCCCATTAACGTCTAGTTTCTCATTTACCAGTTGGGATGTGAACAGGCCTGTTGAGAGACCACAAACTGTTTTATGTGAGTCAAAGAAATATGGCCATACATCGGCAAACATTACTAGTTGTAAGTAAAGGACTCTGGCTAGAAGTTGTAGAGGAGGATGAAAGAAAAGGAACCTCTATCAATTTTTAATATTTTGGGGAGGCTCACATAGAAAGAGCATTATTAGAAAAAGTCAACAGGCATTGGTGCTTAGCTCTAAAAGCGAGCATCAAATTGAAGAAGTGTCAGGTGCAATTTACATTTCTCAAGTTTGTAAATGGAAAATAATTTTAGAAATTATAGGTGACAGGAAAGTTCACACATATTTTAAAATATCAGCTCTACAGTATGGGGTTTGGAGCCTGTTGAGGTCTGTTAAAATAAACAGATTGAGATTTGCCGAAATAAATCGGTTAGTCTTTAAGGTGCCATCAGACTCCTTGTTGTTTTTGTGGATACAGACTAATACAGCTATCCCTCTGATACTTGTTAAAATACATGTTTGCTTTAGATAGATTGGATGGATAGATTAGATAGATCAAAAGGGAAGAAAATTAAATGAGACCCACAAAGTACAGTCAATGAAAGACACAGTGATGTGTCTAGTACTCAGAACACAGTAGCTCAAGGGTTCTGGTCTAAGCAGAAGTGACCCATCATCCTGTTCTATTAGGGTTCCTATCCTGCACTCATCATGGTGGTATGTTACAGTCATTTGGTGGCCTTTGTGAAATGTTTTACTTTCCCCCCCCTCTTGGTTTTTATATAGTTCTTATCACTCCAGCTTCTGAGCTCCTCACAATCATTGATTAAATTAACCCTTACAATAGCCTTGTGAGGTAGTAAAGTATTAGGACTATGACTCAGATGATCTGGCTCTGCCATAGACCTTGGACAGTGCCTCGATTCCTCATATGGAAAATGGGGATAATAGCACTTCCTTTGCCTGTGTTGTTTATTTCAGTCTTTGGGGCAGGGGCTGTTTCTTACTCTATGTGTACATACAGCGCCTAGCACAATGGGTCCTTTGTCTCAGTCGAGATCTTTAGGTGTTACAGTAATACCAATAAATACATCCTATATTGTACATAGGACAGCTCTCTTAGTTCAACCTATAAGCAGATACGTATTTGCCTCTAGAGAACAGCTGAGAGCTCTAGTCAAACTTTTACAATTAATTGTAAGAAGTACATTGGTGTGGGGGGGAGGGGAATGCTTCTACTAAATTAAATCAATTATTTACCTTGGGATTTTGCTCTTTATAGACATACCAGAAAAGGCCTTCAAGAACCGATCTGAAGGAGGTCCCTCCTGTGACAGAAATCAGGAATGGTTTCCATAAAGACTACGTTGCGGCAGCCAATGGGGTTCTGAACAATAAGAAAGCACAATAAGCACAGTAACTCAATACTACATTGTAGTATTTTTCACTTTTTCTAAATAAAAAAAGAGACTGAGTTACAAGACAGTTTTAGTGTAAACTCTGACTCAGTTTGGATACATTTGTCAGGTCTTTGTACCAAACATTTATTAATGTTTTGCTATTTAGATTTTAACAGCGTGTAGCTTTAAGTGCTTTGTCCAAGATCCAAAATGTCCAAAATGAGAGAGGCCATGAGAGACATCATCCCCTTCCCACATGCAAAGGTACATTTAACAGTCTCTAATGCTGACACAATGCCTTACAAAACATTTCACTGGGAAACCCAAAGAGTGGTCACATTTTTGTGGTAGCCTTCAAAAGGTAGGGTTTTATTCAGACTAAAAGGTTTTGGCACATCCTGTGTACATGGAGGGTCTCCAGAGTGTCATATTCCTTCGCTGACTTAAGCTAAAAGGCAGCTGAGTGGTCAACCTGTTTTGACTAATTTAGCCGAGACCACCTATGGAAATCAAACAGGATAGATAATTCATATCAATGCCCAACTCCATTAGCACCCCTGTTCAGCCCCTTCAATGCATCTCTCAAAACACACTCCATCATGTGTCAGTCCTGTGTACATCAATCCTCCCTCCATCATCGTAAAAATTATTTTCATTTCTGGAAAATAATGCAACTAATGGCAGAATTATTGTCATAGTCCCTGTGCCCCACATTTACAACTTCAGCATGCACAGAAATATGCACCACACATATTTGCTTTATGCCTAATCCAAAACTCTTTGAAGACAACGGGAGTCTGTTGACTTCGGTGGGTTTTGGAACAGATTTACAGTCTCTTTGGCCTTGTCTAGATTAGGATTTAAAGGTGTGATGTTAGATGCAGTTACCTAACTCCATTTAATTAACTCCTTTGAGAATTCTAGTTGAGACAAAGCAGTTGTACTTTAGAGGGTGCTGGTTGGTCCAGTTAAAGCTAGGAGAAATTTCTGCGTAAATTCTTGACCACTTGTCACCAAAGCAGAGTTGACAGGAAATCCCATGATTTTTAATTTAATTTAAAAACATAACCTAGTGAGGACAAGCCCTTAAAAGCCACAACAAGTCTCAAATGCATGTGAAAGAAAATACCAATGCACAAGCAACATGTGAGAATCAAATTCACATGCTATATGAGAAAGGGCTCTGGAAGAGCAATTGAACCTTAAAAGGAGTGAATCCAGGACACATCCTATAGGAATTGCCATATCAGAACTGATCAGTAGTCCATCGGTCCAGTTTCCAACAGTCACTTATGGAGAGTGCACCATATGAAGATGTAAAAAAGTACCAGGTTGTGCTACTGTATTCTGTAAAGAGGGATGGAGGAGAAATTGTTTCCTATCTATAGCTATTGAGCTGGTTGTGCCTTGAAGTAAGAAGATCATTGGCCCTTGTAATTTTATCCTTACAGATACTATTCTTAGTCAAATAAATGCTATTAGTCAATTTTATTTACTCTTACCAAACTATTCACCTCAGTAACATCCTGCAGCAGTGAGTTCCCTAGGTTAACTGGACATTCCTTTTTAAAAAGTATTTCCCCATATCCATTTCATTTATTTATTTTTGCATTTACCTGCCTAGTCCCATCCTATTCCTGCATTATGAGACAGAGCAGAGCACATCTCCTCTAATTCTCTTTTTCAAACTAAGTAGTTCTAGCTTCTTCAAACCCCTCTTATATGGAAACACTGCTAACTCAAAAAAATCTTTTTAGTAATTTTTTACTGCCCTTTACTAGATAATGAACATAAATCCCATCCCAGCAGCTCCCACAAGTTCCAAAAGCTTTGTAGAAATGCTATTGACCGGCCCTCTCTCTCATTGGCTTGTTGAGGTGAGCACCTGAGAGAGCAGAGGTACCAAAGGGATGGAAGAACTTCAAAATCCCTGGCCACAAATTCTCCCAGACTGCCTGGTGACTCCACTCTCTCTTCTGACTAAGCCCATGGCCCCAGAAGTAGCACATGTGAAGAGACGGCCAACTGCCTCAGGAAATAGCGTATGCAGGCAGACACCAGGTTAAGTGAGTAGAAATATTAGTAGAAGGAAGAAGGGGCAGACACACTAGGGACTTGGAAGCAATAAGAATAGGAGCAGATTGAGGTGATGGGATAAGGAGAGGATGAACATTTTCGATCAGTGGGAAGAATGGGAAGGGGTCATTTCAGAGTTCAGTCTGAATGCGTGCCTGTAAGCCCATGGACCTGTCTGAAGAGAGGCAGATCCCTGATTTGAACCTCTTCTAGTTATGACTGACTGCTTGAATGCAACCATTATGCTGAAGCAGAAGATTGAAATCCCCACTGCAGCACAGACAGCTCACTTAAGCAGCCTTGTTACTGTGCAATGTCTTAATACATCAGATTACCAAAACTAGCTGCAGTAGTCAAGTATTTAAATAAATGACACTGGAATATCTTCTAACTCCTGCTCATTGCATCACACAGTCACATTCTTGCTCCTCCTTGAGCTGATGTCTTCATTCTGTCCACAATGCAAGTCTCACCCTTCCCAGACACCTTTAAAAAAATACAAAAAAACTAAATTCAGAATTAATCAGCATCGATGAATAGCTTAAGTTGGCTCTTCAGAAAGACCTTGCTTGGCAGTTCTCTCCAATAAACATTGTAAGAATCCCAAGAAGTGAGCAACTAGACAATCGGATTCAAATGGGAAGTTAGAGACAAGGTGGGTGAGATAATGTCTTCTATTGGTGGGAGAGACAAGCTTTCAATCTACACAGAGCTCTTTTTCAGGTCACTGAAAGAGATCATCCCATCCATCTGGTCTCTCCAATATCCTGGGACCAACATGGCTACAACAACACTGCAAACCTCAAATGGGAAGTGAAAGTTCTTTAAATGTGTGTAAAACTTTGGAAGACCTTGCAGGTGTAGATTTTGTATGAGAAATGTCTCCAACTGTGACGGGCACAGACAAAAGCAGATCAACTGACTAGATGGGGGAGGAGGCAGCTGGTCAATGACTAGAAGTAAATTGAAATGATGGGTTATTAGACTTAGGAGCTAGTGCCTAGGCACCACCTGTCACCAAAGCAGCTGACAGGAAATCCCATGATTTTTCATATAGTCAGTTGTCACTCTGCCTCTCAGACACATTACTAGAAGTCATTTTAGCCTCATATCAGGAGCAAGATTCCAGAGTCAGAAGGCATAATTATTAATTGGGTTGTCACGCAAGTTAATCTCAGACACACGATATACAGGTGAGGCAATGAAGAGGTTTTGTGGCCCAACATGGAATCCCGAGTTTAGTCTGAATAGAATCCATAACCTTTGGGTGCAGAGAGCAGGAATATGTTCCTAAACATTCATTTGACTGGCAGTCTGGAAAACATCAGCATTCTAATGGTTAAAGTCTACTCAGAAAACCAAACCCAGATAAGTTTAAAGGTTGTCTTTTGTTTCATTGAAGCCTAATTTTAAAAGGGGGGGGGGAAAAAAGGATTACCTTACTTGAAATGTTTAAAGGGCTGAAAAAATATATATACATAAATGCGTCACCTTACCAATCCAAACCACCAGGAAGACTGGAATCAGGTATATTCTGAGTTCTTCACACGTATTTTAACACCAAAATGCTGCAACTTTGAAAAACAAAAAAGGTGTCGACTTTTTAAACTGATTTTCCTGTAACACTTAACATGGTAAATAAACAAAAGTTTTACAATCAGTCTTTTCTTTGTTATTTGAGGCATAAATAGCTTGGGGGGGGGTCAGACTATCTGAGGCAATCTTTTCCTGGAACTTGGACAGAGAGAACCATTTGACGGACATTCACCTGGGTGTAGATGGTCTGAAAAAACCCTCCACAGCTTCAGGTAGCCCCTGCCCTCAAGCAAGTTTCACTGAGCAAAGGTTTTAGGGCAATTGCTGGCTATGCTTCCCCTTGATGTCAATTTTTCAGGGGAAGCTACCATTGAAACTGTGAATGGGTGGAGTTTCCAACCCCACTCTGCACACATGAATTAGCATTCAAACTAAGCACACGCACGCGAGTGTCCAAACAGAGGGAGAGTGCATCTCAACACCCTGCATTCTGAGTTAAGCCTTTGCTGGGGCATAAGTGCTGGAAGTAGGGGTGATGCTGAACCCCTTGGTTTGAAATGGTTTCCATTATATACAAGGTTTGCAGTTTGGTTCAATGGCTCTCAGCACTCCCACTATAAAAATTGCCCCAGCAGCCCTGTCCTGGAGTTTTCCCTTTTCTTAGGCTGAACTTACACCCAAACTGGACTGCTTCCAGAATTGTTTCCATTCGATTCCCTGCTGTCTCACATTCCCTAACCTGTCTCCCTGCTTTATAGATTCCCCACCTTGCATTCTCTCAAGTTGGAGATAGTGGGACCTATCTGACCCAGATGACATGACACACACAAAAAATGAACAGCCTTGAGATGGTCTCAGTGAGAATTACATTATGTATTGCACAGGAGGGAGAAGGTGAACCACCACAATCTAGTTCATATTGTTCAAGCTTATTCTAGCACCTATTTGAAGGATTGTAGCTTTTTTGGGGGGGGCGGGGGGGGGGAGAAATGTATTCTGAATCAAGTTCTATCCTAACTACAATCTTCCTTGCCCATTTAAATAACAGAGCTCACAAGCATATTTTGCCAGGCACTAGAATTTGAGGGTGCTGTGGAATAACTTTGCAGCATGGTGATATAGCTTTACAGTTTCTCTTACGGTTAATAGGATTCACAGAACTTGATCCTCCCCCTGAATTCATACTCTGGTAAAGGGGAGTTATGCTAGTTTGTGCATTCATTTGGAGAGAGCTGGACAGAGATGGGCCTCAATCCAGCTTCCTTTATTGCATTTGTAATTAGTTGTGCCCACAGTTCCATTATTTGAAGATTTACCTACCCGATTTAAGGCCGAGGCAATTTTAACTTACAAACAAAACAAACCAACCAACAGCCAGAAGTTTCTGGAACTCCAACCACCCCCCCCCCCACCTACGACACAAGCAGCTGGATTTTGTGTACCCAATAACAGTTCTCTCAATAATCACGGTTTTCCTTAGGGAAGGGTAAAGGGTACATAGGCTTGAACACCCATTTCAAACGGTTTCATTCTACTCTAATTTAGTGGCTGAAATGAAGTCATGCATGGGAAGTTTCAGCCACAAAGGAAAACTGTCAAAGTTGTGAGCACTCAAAAAGAGGGCGCTAATGCTCAGAGATGCTGAGTAGTTACAGTTTTCAAAGGCCATGGCAGTTATTGATGCTGAACACCCATTAGGATTAAACCCAGTCTGAGAGTGCTCTCAAGCTTAATTACAGCAGCTCTGAATGCTACCCTAAGACTCTGAATTATTATGGGAAGCAGGAAGAGCCCCGACGACCGGGTCATGAAAGAAATACTTCAATAGTGTTCCTGGAAAGAGCTAAACAAATCAGTGCCATGACCACCACTGGTTACAAAGAGGATTCAGTTTGGCAGACTGCCCCTGCCAGCAACCATAAAATGGCTTTACCAATAAAAATGGAACATGTCTCCATTAGTACGGTATGGGACACACAATGCCATTTTCACACAAAGCGGTGATATATTGCAACATTGTCATCTGCTCAAAGCTTGTCAGTCTCTGAACATCCTTCCCATCCCCCACCCCCATTATGGTAAATTCATATGCAATTAAGTAAATTCTCCACCTCAGACCAGCTGAATGTGAAGTCTGACAAGAGCAAAGAGACCCCAGACCCATTTAATTTGGCAGTGCATTCGTCAGCTCCATGGGAACAAAGGAAGGAGATCTTCCCCTCACCCCCAAACACACTACAGAGCAGTAACAGTGTTGTTTCTTGTCACTAACCTAGCCTAAAGGCTCTACAGCCTCTCTCTCTTTCCCACTCATGGAGGGACAACTCTAGATCCAACAATGGGCTTCCTTGCTGGGAGCTCCCATGGTGTGCAGGGGATGCCAACCACCTGCATGAGCTCTTCCCATCCAGCCTTCCCTCTACAACGGAGCTGCCATGATCCCACTATGTCTGAGGCCCTGCCCTCCTACAGAGGATTTGGGTCTAAGAAACTGCTTTTTCTTTTTTATTGTCAGACTGAATGAGCCTCAGGAGTAGACAAGTGTCCTGGTTAGATAAACAGCTGCCATAGCATACCTCAGTGGATTGCAGTTAGGAATAAGTACCACAGTGGGACAGTCTTTCAACTCACTTCATAAGTCTTTTGTAATCTATGCCATTCATTTACTACAATCATTTCCCCCTGCATTTGTGGTTACCTGCTATGATACACATTGCCAAAAATTAGTTAAATTACTCCAATCCACTAACATATCAAACAAGCCAAGCAAACCTGGTGTGCATTCACTTATATTTTTAATCTCTAGTGTAACTCTTCGCACACTTGAAAGGTCTTGGGAGAATTTACACAACAACAAAGCTATTGCTGGGGGAGAAAAAAAAAAAGCCTCAAGTTTGGCTGGCCCAGCTTTTCTTCTAAGCTCCCAGAGGAAAATGGCCAAATGTATCCATCTGTAAAGGAACTTGAAATTTTAAAAAAAAGTTACCCTCATCCACCAATACAAGACACAACTAAACTGAACACAAACAATGCTTGCTATAACTCTGCTGAAGCTCCTTTAAACGAACACAATCTCTGAAGGTGGACATATGATCTGATAAACATAGATGAGGTTATTTTAAGCTATCCCTGCTATATCTACTGTGAAATAATTCATGCAACACATCAAATATTTCTGTTGCTGCCTCTTGACAGGCAGCATTACCCACTAGAACCCTAGCAGGCTGAAAGCTGTGGTTTGAAGGAGAATCCTCTAATACCAGAAACAGACACATGAGGAGGATGGAACCACAGTCTTAACTTTATCACTCCTGGCTTTTGGTATTTCTAGGTGTGTATTTGAAAAGACTAAATCCTCCTTTAAGAGGCAAGTTTTTAATCAGAGGATGGTTTCTATAACTTTTGGGAATGGGTCAGTTTGCATTTTCTAGCCTCAGATACAGTCCCAATCAAAAAAAGTCATTGAACCAAAAAGGGTGCAGTGTCATTTATAATATTTATAAGATAGTCTTGTCCTCCTGCCTACACAATTCATTAACATCTGAGTTTACATTGTACTGTACTGTAGCTCTGCAGGCACTTTCAGTCTCACAGGAACTTTGAATTCCCCAAACACTCCCTGATTACAGGCATTGTTTAGAGGACAAGTTTTTACAAATGTTTAGTTAGTTTTTTTATTTAAATTGGTCCTTGTCTGTTGGCTGATCCTTTGATTCCTGCTTTGATTTCCCATTCTTCCTCCCCCACCCCAGGAATTCCACCAGTAGGTGTCTGGTAAGGAAACCAGATCAAATATAATCAACAACTTCAGATTCAAAACTAAAACAGAGGCAGGTATGCAAGTGCCTCTCCTATCTTTCACTGAAGTGCATAAACCTCTCCATGGGGGGGCATAGCAGAGCAAGAGAAGGAAAGGACATGACAGAGAAAATAGTGGATAGGCAAACCCCGTATAACATCACTTTCACATGTTACCAGCCTTCAGGGAAATTAAAAACATTCATTTCTGAAGATACTCTATTCTAAATATTAATTCTCCTTAACATTTAACTACAAACCAGAGGCCACATTCACCTTCTGCATGCCAAGTCTGTGAGGATAGGCTAAGGGAGAAAGGAGAGAGAAGAGGGTCCTCCACTTATTAGGGTCCTATAGAAAACAAAACACACAAAAAAAATCAGACTGCTCAGGGGATCGTCGTCCTTCTTTAAGATCAGCTTTGCAGGGTTTCGTAGGCGCACATATTGCAGCTAGTGGTCTCAGCACTGTACGATTGCAACGTGGTAATGATTGTTTTGGGGGTGGGGTGGAAGACAGCCTAGTTCAAGTTCCAATAGGAGAGGTCCCAATGCGCCCGTGAGCAGCAGATTAAAGACTGAACACCACCGGATTACTTTTCTTAGGACAAAAGATATAGTTCATAGTGGTTTATAGTCACCATATTCTATTCCCTCAATTTTGCCACTACCATCATTATCATCCCCCATATTCCATGTAAACGGGCAACAGAAATATCAAACGATGATTCAAGGGAAAGGGATCTTTTTAAGTGGGTTACACGGTTCTAGAGCAACTCTGTTCACATCAGAATGTACATATTTCATTGCACGCAGTTGCATTTACTGCTCTTTTTGCTCCTTCAGTCACATGAAGGATTTCTTCCCCTCTAGTTGTACTTTCCTTTAAAAACGAACGCATCTATTTTTTTTTTTAAATGTGATGCTCAGGCAGTCAGGTCTGTGCAAACACACAGAAAGAATCAAGTTCCCATGCTCAGTTTTGTCAGGGCAACAACCCCTCAGACTACATGAAGTTCAACTATGCCTAGATACTAGCAGAAGTGCTCTTCTCCTCACTGAATCACACAAATGCTGGTTCCTTAAATAAAGTTCACCTCTTGACCAGGATTATTTTTAGTACCAGACATTTAAAAATATAGATCACATGAAAAGTTATGGAAAATGCAAGTTACATCTTGACGACGAATATATTCAGGCTAGCATAGATACATATAATATATAGAATATTATTCACACTATATATATTAGCATTTTTTAAGCATAAGTAGCATTAAGCACAATTATAGCAGTTATATAGCCTAAATTGGCCTTTGATTTTTATATA